CCAGATTCCCCAGGCAGAGTGATTCTTCCGTGATCCTGCTAGCTGATGTGGTTATGGAACTAGCTTTGCTTAGCTGCTGAAGCACACACAGCTTAAGTAACTTGATTAGAGGCTCGGGCTCCCCCGCGCTCAGAGCCAGACTTCCTGTCCTGCCGTCCGTGCACCGCTCAGCAGCACTAGAGCGATCCATCCACTTGGCGTCTGACAATCGCTTCCATTTATCTAAATAAATAAATAATATAAATAAACGAATAAACCCTGGGTTTGACTTCCCGACACCCAAACCTGTGCAGGGCTCATTGCAGCCTCCCCGCCCATCACTTGCATTACCTTGAACGCACGTATATCAGTTCCATAAGGGGGTATTTTCCTGTACTGTTTATGAGTGTTTTAACGTAAGTTTCCATCATGGCATTCTCATGTTTCTCATTGTACCTGCTTCTTGTTTGTTCTCTTCACCACTGTTCTCTGTCTGCCTTCCGTGGTCCAGTCACCTGCATTTGGTATTCTCTCCCCTCTCCTGGTCCCCTTTCTGCTTTTATTACACACATACATGCACATGTACATATATATACATGCACACATATACACATATATGCAAATGTACATATATACATACACATAAACACATACAGGTATACACACTTATAAACACATATAACATGTATGCATGCACCATACACATGTACATATATACATATATATGTACACATAGGTACACACATCAATATGCAGAAATATACATACACATACTTATGCATATGAATAGGTATACACATATATACACAGCATATGAATATGCACATGTACACACATATACATACTTGTATCACATAGACACATGCACATATATACACATGTATGCACACATGTATACATATGCTCATGGGAGCACATATAAACACATCACACACAAGTACACTTATGCGTACACACATATGTACACACATACACATGTACACGCACAAATATGTATACGTCTACACCTGTACTCACATATATTCACATGTACATATATATACATGTACACACACCAGGCACACAGGTACACACAGGTACACAAAAGCACATAATCACATACACGTATACTCACATATAAACATGTATTCGTGCCATTATTGCTGGTACACACCTCACTGCCGTTGGACCGACTGTTACCATGGCCCTTTATTTTCGCCTGGGTTTTGTTGCGGTTTTCCCGCTTGTGGTCGTGACATTTTATGTCGCAGTGCAGACTTGCAAACTGTCACGTTAATGTGACTGGATGTTAAGAGAGTGTAATTAAACAGTATTTTACTGTGAATCGCATTAGGTTGTTGAGTAAGGGACTTGCTGTCCCTATTGGAAGGTCTGCAGGCTGTGGAGTCAGGTGGTTGGCACGCCGGCCCAGGGGCTCGCTAGTTACAGTCCTCTGTGATAGTTGCTTATCACTGCAGCATGCTCAGCCCCTAAAACTCACTCACTGTTCACTTTCTTAGGGTGAAAATGGTGGTTTTGTAGGATTCTACAGGAATTCCCCAAACTTTGCTGGCTCAAAGGAACATACATGAAGGCTTAAGGTGAATGAGTTATTCTGATTTTCACTGACAGGATGCTGCAGGGGTGCCGACCGGCAGGGCCTCTGGGGTGCTGTGCACACACACGTGTGCACGTGCACACACCCGTCATCATTTCATTTCACCTTCACCAACTCCAGCAGGAAAAGTAGCAGCAAACCACACGTCATCAAGCTGTCGTACTCTGCCAGGACGCCAGACTAAAACTGTGTATTTGAGACTGCGTGTTTGCTCATCTTAAAGATCTGGCTTATAAACTGTGAGGAATCGGGACCCATTAAATGACTGTTTCCTTTCCAGCTGACTCGGTGTATGATGTCTCTGAGTCTGGAAAGGATGAGCTGATGGTCGCCAAGTGAAGCCCCTCCAGTCAGCTTCCTCCAGCCAGGCTTCAATGATTCCCCCAAACTTCCAGCATTTGGCACCTGTAACCGGGAGGGTTGGAGTGGAGGTCTGGCTTGGAACCTTTGGCATTTATTCTTCAAGGGGCTTTAGGTATATCTGCCTTGCTAGAAGTCCTTTGTCTGGGAGAATGTTTGTCTTAGGGAAGGGGACACTAACCCCAGTAATCTCATCTAGAAACTGGAAGGGAGGGGTATTTCTGCTGTTCTGGGGAATCTCTTCTCTCAGCAGTTCCCATGAATATGGAAAGACTGAACTGGCAACCGGAGAGCTTGCAGGGTACTGACCTAGACCCTCTGTACATAGGTTGCAGTTGTGATCTTCCTGTGGGACTCCTAACAGAGGAGCAATGGCTGTCTTTGACTCTGTTATCCCTCTTTGGGACCCGCCCTCCTACTGAGTTGCTTCATCCAGCCTTGGTGGGGGGAGGTGCTTAGTCTTGCTGTGACTTGGTGTACCAGGGTTGGGTGATGTGCGCCCTTTTCTGGGGAGAGGTGAGAGGGAGTGTTGATGGGGGCACCAGGAAGGAGGTTGAAGGGGAGGGCCTGGGGAGAGGGAAGAGGGGCTGTGACCAGGCTGGGAAGAAATGAATTAATCAGTTAATAAAATTTTAAAAAATATGGAAGCTGGGCAAGTACCATGGGGTGGGTGGAGAGGAAGTGTAGAATGTTTGATGGTAAACAGGGATTATTGTTGGGGGAAAAAATAGCCCAGACAGTTTTGCTTCCAAAACACCAGAGGACATTGAAGCAAATTAGATGGCATTGGTCCAGCTTGGGAAGGGTCTGTCTAGCGGAAGGCTGGATGGCCAGAGGACACCTTCCCCTGTGCAGAGGACACCTGAGTTTGCGTGCTGGCTCAAGAGTGCTCAAGGCAGAGCCAAGACACCCAGTGAGTGTCAGCCGACACTGGAAACAGTGAGGTCTCTGCTGTAGTTTAGCAGGCAGCCAAGACCTTAGGAATTGATGTCTTGGAAGATGTGGCTCTGTCTGTGGGCTTGCTCGTATATACGCCCCAGGACTTGCTAGAACTGGGGGCCGGCATTTCGGATAACAGTCTATCCCATGCATGCCACGGCTTGCAGAATCTCATCTGTAGAAGGAGCTCTACTCAGCCGGTGGCCAGGCAGTAAATCCCTCAGTATTTGATGCTGTGGTGGGGCTTTGTGCTCTTGGGCCGTGCAGAGGTGTTCTGAGGACATTTTGGTAGAAGAGAGAATAAATTCAATGACAGAAGAAAGGTTCTACAGCATGGAAACTCTTGGGGATAAACTTTTAGAGTAGAATTTAAAATAGATGTATAAAATCAGTATTTCTCAAGCTTTGACAACATGCAGTGTGCTTTTAAAACATATCCTACTTTGATAAATGAACACGGGTTGTGTCTAACCACATCTGGCCATGCTTTTATATAGCCAAAATGAAAAGTATGATTAAGTAAATAGTCTTCTGTAGTCAATATTATTTCACTATCTTGAGATTATTCCACAAAGAAAAAAAAAGGTAGATGGGACTACAGGGGGAATCTTCTTTTGAGTCCAGAAAGCTTCTACTCTTTGTGCTGAGGGCTATTCCAATTCACTGACCAATTCCTCCACTACTTAAACGGCAGAAGGCAAAACCACCCTTAAAGCCAGCCTGCACTTGATGTGTTTAAACTAAGAGAGCTTGAGCCTTTGTTACTGGCCAGCGTAGCAGACCTTAGAAAAGCCTGCCAGTGCTTCCTGCATTGGAAAGCCATTTGTGGGGATAGCTATGATAGGAAGAAGCCCTGAAGGAAATTCTAGAATTGTTCTTGCATGACACATGACATTATGGTGTGCATTTTTCTGAAAATCTTTCATACCGAGGAGACCTCATTTTTCTCATAAAACCTTTCCACTTGGTCGTGTACTCTGGCATTGGGCAGAGGAGATAAGGGTGAGGAGGGCCTCCTGGGCTTCCTGATAGTCACACTGAATTCCTGGGGGACACCCTAACCCCTGCCAGAGCCCTGCTACGTCTTATCGTTCTTGGTTTAGGATTTGAAGGGAAGATCTCTGACTACATCTTGATTGTATGCGGAGCATGTATTGCTGTACTCACCTCCTGTCCTGTCTGGGGAATAAAAATCCTGTCCGCCCCCCATTCTCTCCCCCCCTTCTCCCTCCCTCTGTTTGCTGTGTACCCTGGACACTTGTTTCTCAGCGATGCACTGGCCATTTCCAGTCACAGCTACCACCTCCGGCCACTCCTTCAATTGTTCTCTGCTGGTTTTTTTTTTTTTTCTTCCTTCTCACGGTTTGGTTTTTAGAGCTCAGTGCATCTCCTGGTGAAATGAGTCTCGTCACAATCACTACTGCCCTGGTCCGTCCAGGCTGCTGTAGCACAATACCATACATGGAGCGGCTTAGGAACAACAGGAATTTATTTCTTACTGTTCCTGAGGCCGAGGCAGCCAAGATCAAGGTGCTGGCAGATTTGGTGTCTGACGAGGGCTGCCTTCTGGTGCATAAAAAGAAGGTAGCTCCTCGCTGTGTCCTCGTGTAGTGAGAGTGAAGACATCTACTTTCAGCCCCTTATATGGGTACTAATCTTGTTATGAAGATTCCACTGTTGTCAGGGTCTGATCACCCCCCCCCAGACCCCTGTCTATTAACATCATATTGTAGGTTCACTTGAAACATATGGACTTAGAGGGGACGCAGAAACTTTAAAGTATGGTGACCATCCAATCAGAGTGTCTTCTTTTTTTTTTTTCTCATTAATTGACAGACAGACTTCTGCTGTCAGGGTTATTTGGGGGCTCCTCTCTTCCCCAGAGCAGCTAAAGAGCAGGACAGGCTGTGGTGCTGTCATGGAGGCGCTATCTGAAGCTCCAGAGGGCTCTGTATTGATTCCATCAGCAGGTGTGGTCCTCAGGCAGGATCTTTCCCCCAGGGAAGCAGCCCCTCTGGACCCAGCTCAGATGCAGATACCGAGCCTCCATGACTTCTGCAGGAGGTCGTTCAGAGCATTGCTATCTCACATGCCCCTTCCTGGCTTTCATTTGTCACCTCGGCAGGACTCTCCTTCAGCAACTTCAGAAGCTTCAGGCTCTGGTGATGGGGAAGGTCTCTCGAACCTGCAAGTTAGCCGGCACGCAGACTAGCACCTGCCTCATGGTGAGTTTCTCAGAGGGACTCCCTCCGGCCAGCCCCCTATGTCCAGATTCCCCTACCTCGAAAATGCAAAGAGTGAATGAAGCCAAAGGGACCATACATTCTGTTCCAAGGCTTTCCTCCTGCATGTCATTGCAGGGACAGGACTAAGGGTATGATCTGTCCCCTGGCAGAGGGGTGGGTGTTCCTTCTCCCAGTGCTCCCGGTGGCTTGTCCCCGAGAGTCTGCTCCCCACAGTCTGGGATCTACAGCTCCCCACGTTCTGTCCTCGTCTCCAGGTCGTTGTGCTGTGCTTTGCTGTTGCGTTTGGCAGCTTCTTTCAAGGCTATGGGCCCTATCCCTCAGCCACCAAGATGGCTCTGCCCAGCCAGCATCGCCTGTCGGAGCCATACACAGCCTCCGTGGGTAAGTCAACAGCTTGTTCTGTTTGCCTACAGTTGGCTTTCCCGGCTTTCTGCAAGGAATCTCGTATGAAAGCCTAGTGTGTAAAAGCGGGTGTTCTGGGAGTGGCCACTGGACACCCTTGTGTAGCACCAGGAAAGCCTGACCCACATCCTCCCAACTTGGGGTTCAGATGTGAGGGGATGTGACTCTTGAAAGACTAGAGAGTAGGGAGGACATTTAACTTTTCTGACATCCCAGGATCACTCTTGTACCTCTGACTCCCTGAGCGGAATTACATGCCACTGCAGTAGGAGTTTGAAGCAGAATTCAAGCATCGGCCCGTCCCATGCCCAAGACTTAGAGAAGTCGGAGGCTCTGGTGTTCACGTTGGCAGCACATTCTGTCCGCCCCTTGACCAGAGATGTCTTTTGAGTATTTAGAAAACAGAGGGATAACAAAGAAGGAATATACACAGAGAGGCACAGCTGTGTTAGTAACAACACACACAGAGTTAGGAGACACAGACTTTGAGGAAGGGACTCTGAGGATGGCAAAATCCTCAGAAAGTCTGTATTTTCCAGCAGTTAGGTATATCCCGTCCAGATGCACGATAAAATGACATCCCATTAAGATAATTTCACTGGCTGTTTGGGAACTTTTTTTCTGAGGGAAACAGCTCTAAATTTTGGAAGCTAATGGGCACACAGTTTCTATGTCCAGGAAATGGCTACAGAGTCATCTGTGTGACGGCCCTATAATGAAACAGGGGTTGTCTGCCTCCGATTTTTGGGCTCAGCTTTGGGCTATCTCTGCAGACTCTAAGACCTGCTTTCTGGGGGATGCTTCCTTGTTTGTCTGGGCTTTGATGACTCCAAGTTTTTGACCCACGTTTCCCACGAACTCTTTTCCCTGAGGCAGTTATGGGTAGGGATGAGAGACATTTTTCCTGAAGGCAGTGAGGGGGGAAGGTGGTTTTGCAGTTGTTTGCTTTCATGCTGTCCTTCCAGCCTGTATAATTGGTATCATTTTTGCTGCATAAACTCTGAAACCTGAAGCCTTTCCAGAGAGCCCAACCCAGCTGGCCCTCTCCACCCCAGAGGATGGGAACATGTTGTCATCCGCCACTGGCCTTGGGCATTGGGAGTAAAGGACACGTGTGGGCCTCCTATGCTATTCTGTTAATATCTGTTGCTCTTTCTCCAGTGAGATCCAGGAACCTGCTAATCTATGAGGAACATTCTCCCCTGGAGGAGTCGTCCAGCCCAGCCTCCGCTGGAGAGCTTGGGGGCTGGGACAGAGGCTCCTCCCTGCTCAGGGCGTCCGGGCTGGAGGCCCTGCCAGAGGTGGATCTCCCCCACTTCATCATCTCCAATGAGACCAGCCTGGAGAAGTCAGTGCTGTTGGCGCTGCAGCAGCACCTGTGAGTCCCGTAGGCGCAGACCTTGTGGCTGATGGTGGAGTATGACTCAGCCCCAGTGGGAGGGTGTCTACTCTCCCGGAGCTCTCTCGGGATCCATTTAAGGCATTGGCACCAGGGAGAGTCTGCTGATGACTGTTAACAGAGAAAAGGTCTAGGTTGAGCTAATCCAGTATCCAGGCCGTCAGTTCAGAGCTGGCAGCCCTGGCCCTGCAGAGGAGGAGGGGACGTGAGTCCTCTCAGTCAGTGAGCCAAGGCCAGCCTCAACTTCATAGTGAGTTTCTGGTTAGTTAGCCTGGGCTACATGAGATCCTGTATCCAAAAAAAGAAAAAAAATAGCTGGTGACATCAGAGAGCTTGTTCTGCAAATGCACCTTTGATCCAATTCTAGAGAGGAAGAGAATGTTATACTGGGTATCAATACAATCAACGATTTACATATCAGTGTACAGGAATCAGCTGTGACTGCAAAGGGACCACCCTTTGTGTAAAATGCTTGGGACCACAAGGTACTTAGAATAGAATATTCCAGGTGTTGGAATATTTGCATATACATAATGAAGTGTCCTGGGCATGAGAACCAAGTCTAAATGTGCAATTTATCTATGCTAGGTAAGAAAGTTTTCGGACTTAGAGCAGTTTGGGATGGGGGATGCTCACATATGTACATTATATGCTTATATTGAGGGCAGTGCTGATGAAACTCTGTATGTCTTCCCCATTGAAAATCATCCCTCTGTGGCTCCAATTCTGCATGCATTGTTCCCCTCCCACATCTGGTGGGTGGGGATCCTTTTGAAAACATAACAGCTGATGCGATCTCAAGGTATTGCTATTGTGCATGAGGATACCTGGGGCTCTGGTCAGCACAGAAAGCACGTGTGTACTAAAACCGTGTGCTAAACTGATGCATTAGCTAATCTGCGCCCCTAGATGGCCCAGAAGCAGGGCTGCTCCAGGGTCCGTAGCAAAGATTTCACTTTGGATTCTTCACTTCTTTCCTAACTCTGTGGGATAGAGTTCATAATCGTAGGTACTTTTGTATGTATACATGACATGCACAATGTTTAGCACTCACTAGTACTCACCACTGCTCATATGTGTTATCGTAACAAACCTTGTAAATATCCCAAAACGTACCGCCTCCACTTTATCCCCATTATGGAGAGAACCTGGAGCCAGCACTGGAAGCCCTAGGGGACCGAGCAGTCGGATAACACGGCTCGTAGCCGTCTGCTCTCCCGGCTCAGTGTGTAGAAGCCCCATTCAGCTCTCTCCGTCTACCACAATGTCTCTCAAATCATAAAGCCTTCCTGGCTCCCATCATAATGCCGGGAGACTTGGATCATGTATCTATTTTGTGGTATATATTTTGGGTTATTTTAAGTTGACTCTTTAAAAGAATCCTTGTTGAGATTCTTAATCCTAGAGCAGATGTCAGCCCTTATCCTTCTTCACTCTCCTTCCCATAACTTACGGCATTGAGGCCATTAATAAACAGGTAGCAACTTTGAAAGCAGTTTAAAATAAGTCAACATCTAAGAATCATGGGTCTCCTCTGGGCCCAGATAAAAGTGGAGATGTAGAGGTGAGCATGTGACCAGTGGGAGATTTGGGGGAGCAAAGAATAGCACCAGGGGTTTAAAAGACATTGCCCAGGGCCAGCCCACAAAGGTGTGACTGAACCGTGACACAAAGTCTGAGAATGTTAGCAGAATCCCGTAACTAATACTTGGTTCTCCGTGCGATGCCTTCGCAGGGTCAGCAGCAAACTGGAAGGGAATGAAACGCTCCAAATCGTGGAACTCGAGCGGCGAGTGAACGCCACCTTCTAGGGCGCCGCCCCCAGCCTTCTCTCCTCCTGACTCCAGCTGTGCACCCCCAAACTGTCTTGCCCATAAGCTTCCCCGTCACCCTTGGACATTGAGAAGGATGTGGACTAGTGCTCGTGGCTTGGAATGGGAGACCAGCCTAGGAGTTTCTTCTTGCCTGACCGTATGGCTCTACGGAAAGGAGCTGGCAACCGCTCCGTCCCTTTCTCTTACTGCCACCATAGAAGAGTATTGTAGGGGTGAGGTAGGGGTGGGAGAAGATACTGCATGATCCTTCCCTGTGAGGTGTGACCCCGTCGAAGAAGACTTGCATGACTTATGCTCAATTGAGACCCCAGACTCTGGCCACAGATATGCCACCAGCACACCAGGGAGTGGCGAAGCACCGTCTGCTGACCTCCCTTGCTCACCAGGACTCCAGTGTGGCCCTGTCCCCACTGAGAGTGCCTGAATGCCATTCCAGCTTCTCTCTCCATTCCTGGAACCCGCATTGGATGCCTGCACAGGCAGACAGGACTCCCACCATATTTTCAGGCCGCAAGTGCAATTCCTGAAGGCGTCTGGCTCTTCTCCTCCAGGCCACCCTGCCTACTGTGTTGCTTGTAGGATAACCCCCCCCCCCAAACACACACACACTACACACACAGCCTGCATCCCCACTGGACAGCCACTCTGTCTCCCTGGCCTTCCCTCCCGATTTGTAAATAGTATTTATTAGCTTGCTGAAGCTCCCTTCTGACCGTAGTAAAGAAATCCCATGACCCCTTCCAACAAGCAAAGTCTTTTGGAACAGGAGAGTCCCCAGGACCTGGGACACCGCCCCCCCCCCCCCCCCCCCCTCTTTCTAGCTGATGCCTTATTGTCTCCCTTTCCTTCCTTTTTAAAATTGGAAACCTATAAAATAATCACCACTGGGAAATCCCCTTAAGCATGTGTCCCCTGTTGGATGAATCCATGGGGAACGATGGAACGCTGTCCTCTTGTTCAGGCTCCAGGCTCCATGGCCCCTCGCTTCTCTCTGTGTGTTCCTGGGACAGAGAAGGGAAGCCCTGCCCCTGACATTAGGCATTGCTGACAACCTTGCTAGCTTGTCCTGCATCCTGCCTGCTCTCCCCCTTCACCTCCCTCCTTTGCTTCTGCCCTCGCTCCACCTGCCTTAACTGTGGGGCGGGGGCTGAAGTTGGGGACATTTTTCCACCTGCCTTAATTGGGGGGGCGCTGGAGTTGGGGACATTTGTCCACCTGCCTTAACTGGGGGGACTGGAGTTGGGGACATTTGTGCACCCACAGTCATACCTTTTACAGTCAGGTTTGGCTACTTTGCAGCTCACCCAAAGAGATATGACGAACCCTCAAACTCCTTTCCTTTTTTTTTTTATATGATTAAATCGTAAAATTTGTAGTTAAAATCCTTTTCTCTTTCATACAAATAAGAAATGGAAATTACTCTTTTATTGTATAAGGTAGAAGAGTCTTTTTAAGTGTTTTCCTCCTAGCTTGTAAAAGATTTTATGTAAGAAATGTGCTTACACTTTGTATTTTATTTTTAGCAGCAGCTGAAGGGCCTTTAGTTTTGGCCTCTCTCTTCTCTCTCTCTGTCTCTGTCTCTCTGTCTCTGTCTCTGTCTCTCTCTCTCTCTCTCTCTCTCTGTCTCTCTCTCTCTCTGTCTCATTTTTTTCCTCTGTCATCGGTGTGACTGTTTGAGGCTATTTGAAAGGGATTATGTCCACACTGGTCCTTGCATTCCATGTCACATACAGGATTTGATGTCATGAGTGTTTGCTGCCGTGCTCCATGAGCGGCTTCCTATTTGGCCTGCCCAGGTTATGATAGGGAGTCCTCCCTCGGCGCGTCCCTCCCTCCCATGGTAGCTTCCCAGCCGACAGATGGCTAAACTTACCTTGTAATGTGTGAGACGCTCCTCAAGGCCACTGTGATCCCGGCAGCCCTGCTGCCCACAGGGCTGTCACTGTCCCTTAAATGCTCAGATACCGGGACTGTACAGAGAGGAGGGTTGCTGGTGCCCTGCTTCTGTTTTCCTTGGTATTCTGTCTTCCTTTGATCTTCCTGGGCCTGGCCCATCCTGTTCTTTACAATACCAGATGTTTATACATAGTAAACATTTAAAATGTCATGCCTATGAGAGCCTAAGAAGGGAGACAGAAACCAGGGTGAGGTAGTATTTGTGTGGTGGGAAAGGGGGAGTTCGCAGTGAAGGGCAGAAGTGGGGTTTTAGACTGATGTCTCTACATCTGCTGAGCTGAGCCCTGGTTTGCGATGTCCCTGGAGATCCAGGGTGGAGACCCCGTTTGTGGATGAGGAGGGAGAAGGAAATGACGCGTCGTGTCTAGTTCTCTGACAACTTTATTTCCTTCTCTACCCACTCTTGGATGTCACTGTCTCCAGACAGCAGGGCCCTTTGTCTGCGGGAAATTGGCCTTCCAGAATAGAATCTGTAACTAGAGACGTGGGACATTAGCCAGAGGACTCAAACAGCCCTTTAAAGGAGCCCTCGGCAGCCAACACTGCCACTCTGTTGAGAAAAACTCAGCCCTCTGCCCTCTGCTGCCGGCTGGGTGAGTAGAGGGGACTGAGCAGTGACCCCCTTTGGGATACTCAGTCAGGGGACCCCCAGTGGCATAAGACAGGAGGGGTTGCTAGTAATTAATGGGTGTGTGCACACTTCGTGTTCGGAGTTTAAGGCTCGAATATCGGTCTTTTTCCCACCAGCTGAGCTGTTCCGTAGACCAGTCAATAACTTCCGAATATCTCTGAAGGTTTTGAATAGTGGCAGACCTTAACACCTTGAATTGAAATTTCGAAAATGCCCGAGACTGCTAGACCGTTAGAGGAGCCGGAACAGTCTGCTGGTTGTATTTTCTATCCTATAAACAACTCCCCAGACACACACACACACACACACACACACACACACACGCACACACACTTTAAGATCACTTTAGTGATGGAGAGGTCTTACAAAGATTTAGAGAACAAGTCATCTTTTTTCTGTAGGCGAAACCCGAGTAACCCAGTTGCCCCCTCCCTCAGGTTTTTCACTGCTCCCAACTTCACACTGGGAAATGGATCTTGTAAACGAGAGGAGCCAGCACCGGGCATTGAGGAAGAGCCTCTGAAGTGTCAGGACTCTGGAGTGTAGCGCACAGAAAGAGAGTGTTCTATAAAAATCCGACAGCTGAACTCAGTTGCTCCTTCCTGGCACAAGGTGGGGGCGGGGTGGGATCTGACATCAGTGCAGGCAAAATTAGATAACCTTTCGGTCCATAGCAATAATGTTTGTGGGTTGGGGAAACAGCTTCAGGGCTGCATAATTTTTAAGCTGTTTATGCCAGGTTAACAGATAGCCCCCCCTCAATCATCAGTTCTACTTGGGTGCCCCATAGTGGCTACGAATCTATGTCCAACACAGCGGGAATCCTGAACCAGTTCCTCTTCATGCTGGTACAGAGCCCACATCATTATTTTTACCATGGATGTTTCGTTAGCGTTCTTTCAAGCACTTACTTCATGTCCCTTCCATCTCATGTGCCCAGACCCAGGGAAAGCAACAAAACAGAATCGAAGTATCTCTGAGCCAGCTTCTATGGACGTACGTGCCTTGTGAGGTGTGTCTGTGAGCCCAGTGGAGGAATAGAGACATCTTGTCCCCCGCCTGAGGAGCAGACATCTGCCTGACCCTGGCCAGCGTGGAGGCATGGACATGGGAGAGATGCTTTTAGTTGCTAATTTGTTTCCGCTGAGCCAAGTGTTTGAGAAACCTGGATGAGCTTAGCACTTGCTTGCAGTCTGTTGGGACCTGTGGAGCCATCAGTGGTGGGGTCTTAGCGAGAGCCACTTGATGTGAACACTTCCCACAGAAACAGCACGCGGGTGATAGGATAAGTTACACCCCCACCCCCAAAGGCAGGCGTGGAGATAGCAATGAAACAGGGGCTGGAAGGAGCCAGACACAGATTTCAGCTTCATTCATTTGTTCACTCATTCATTTGTTCACTCTTTAGACTTTGCAGTTTTACTAAGGAAGAGCAGGCTTTCTGAGACCTAGGAAAGGTTGGAGAATAAGAGGGACTTGAAAAACCAGTTTGTCGGTAGCCATTCGGAAGACCCAAGTACTAATGCTAGTCTCTCTCTCTCTCTTTCTCTCCCCTCCCCTCCCCTCCCCTCCCCTCCTCTCCCCTTCCCTCCTCTCCTCTCCTCTCCTAGGTACTTATGCCTCCAGTGTGCCTTGTATCCAGGACGGCAGGAATCTACTGTCCCTGGAATGTGTCACGTATTACCACATAGCATTAGATTGAAGTTGGGGATGGGCACTTTCTCCAGAGGCTCAGAGATGGTTCCCTAAAAGGGAGCCACTATTAGAATAGCCTGTCTGGGGGAAAGAAATGGGGTTATATCCATTAGGAATATGTAGACAGAGGTGCAATCACCTCAGAAGCATGGCCAGGCAGGATTAGAGGTATTCTAAATCCTCGCCACAGAGCGTTTTCTGGACGCAAAGGCACTAGGCCATTTGAAGATTAATACTCCATGCCTCTGGGCCAAGAGGTCGGCACTGTGCACTAGGAGAAAAGCATTAGCTGTTGTTTGTGGCAACATAAAATTTAGGACTGCCTTCCTTTGTCTTGGTTTCTAGAAGGAAGGAGGTATTATTGCCTGAGTATTTACCGAGGTGTTGTGTATTGTGCTAGGTAAGCTTGGAGCCTTTGAACCTGATTGGAACAGAGAGCAAAGGTGGCTCAGTGCCCTGAGAAGTGGATGCCGCGGGAGGCATGGTAGTTTGTGGAGTCGTTTCTGAGGACACACAGACTGTGCCTGGCTCTCTGGGCAGAAACGACGCCATCCCCTGCAGTGACCCCGCTGTGCAGTGCTCAGCTCTCCGCCTGTCTCTGAAGGGCCATCTGCAGGGCTGGCGGCTGCCCTTCTCATCCTGTCTTTGGAGAGCCCAGCACACAGGCTTTGCGTCTGGGTGAAGGGAACCCAGGGGTTCAGGCTCCTTTTCTCTGCTCTGTTGCTCATCAGCAGGGTGACCATGGGCCCTTTGGGCACAACGTGGAGACTGTCCCTTTCAGATAAAGCACACTGTGGGTCTCTGGCAAACACCAGCACTGGGACACCCTGTGAGTGAGCCTCCCTACATGGAAGAGTGGTGCCCAGATGGTAATGTGGTTATCGGCTGGCTTTCCTTACCTAGTTTGGCAACTGACTTCTGCTCTCTTTTGAAACACTGAAATCAGCATTGTTTAAATCCAAGCACATTGCAAGTTTGTCACCTGACCTTTTGCACTGTTTTATGGCTTCTTATCCTTCATCATAGCTAATAAAATACCAAAAGATAAAAAAAAATAAAATGAAGCTTTGTAGTATACTTGTACTTAGTTTGAAAAAAATTGAAATTGTAATGCATTTGTATTTCCATTTCTTGCAAATAAATATTTTTCTTAGTCAAATGTTGCCCAGTCTTTAAATCCTAGTAACCTGGCATTTGCTTATGTGTGTGTATGTGTGTGTGTGTGTGTGTGTGTGTGTGTTGTGCAACCAATTTTTCCTGATTACCCAGCCAAACTGCAAAAAAAAAAAGAGGCTCAGACCAGTGATTTTTGCATTCTGTGGTGCTAAATCTCAGCCTCCGCCAGAGGAATATTGAAAAATGTAATTGTTTTTTTCAGTCAGTGGCTGAGAATCAGTTTTCTCCCGAGGTTCATGCAGTCCGACTGCTGTGTTCATTGTCTCCTACAGCTTCCCCTCTAACTACATTTCCAGAATCTATGGGTTAGAATTTGCTTTTCCCCAGTGTGGAGGCTTGAGACTGACGCTGTGGACTGGAGCCAAAAAGGAACTGGCCTCCTTCACAGGAGCAGCTGCGGAGAAGGCCCACGGGCTTGTGCTCCCGGACGCTGACAGAATGGCAGACAAAGGTCAGCGCATGCAAGCAGAATGATCTTCATGGCCTTGCACTCTCGAGATCCAATCCGTTTTTCTCTATGTGGAGGGGGCAGAGGTTTCGCTGAATCCCAGAAGGGGTACACCACAAGAGCACTTCAAGGGAGGAAGGATTATTTTAGCTCCCAGTTTGAGGGTACAGTCAACACAACACACGGCGGGGAAGCCTTGAGGCAAGGCAGCTCTTACCTTGCATCTGTATTTAGGTAGCAGTGAGGGATGGAGGCTGGTGCCCGCCTCGAATTCTCATTTTTATTCGGCCCAGGAAGGAATCAAAGCCCAGGAAACTGGGTAGCTCCATTTTGAAAACACCCACAGACACGCCTAGATGTGTTCCAAGGTGACTTTCTCTCGTAGTTGACATTGAAAATTGATTACCACAGACTCTAAAGACCATGGAGAGAAAGGAAACGAAAAGTTTATTTTCGTTCTCTTAGCACCGTGCCCAACCCTGCTTCCTGCTTGGGTGGACAGCAATCTCCCTTCTCCTTTCCCTTGAGCAACTTGACCTCCTGCTCCTACAGAGAAGTCTTTGCCTCACACTGTCCTCTTGCAAAAGCGTCCTGCCCCACATACCATTCTGCTTTAAGAACATTATGGGATGTGTCTTTTTGTTTGTTTGCTTACTTCTTTTTTTTAAGAACATACAAAATGGTTTTTATGCAGACTGAGAAGCCTTCTTAAAAGTCACTTTATTATATTGAACTTAGAGAGAAATATTACACAGCTAGATTATCGCAGCCACTCATGCGCCCAGGCCCACACTCTGGACAATGAGCTACATGGCCCGAAGCTTCTGGTTACCTTTGCGCTGACTGCTGATTACATTTTTATATGCTTATCTACCACACAAAGCAGAAACAGCCGTGACAGTTTTGAAACTAGAAAAAATAATTAGCTTTATATTATCCTCTTAGGGCTCGTGTGTCTTTTCACCTGTGTGCTGTCCTCCCTCATCATCTCTTATTACCCTTCCTTACCTTAGATCTACTGGTACGTTCGTGTTTGCCCTCCACTGTATTTACTATAGCAAGGAACACGCATAAACCTAGATGTCTATCAAAGATGAATGGCTTGTGAGAAACCATATATATATATTCTCCCTTGCTAATTCATCCCCTAAGTACAAATCTTTTATCTTAGTTAGGGTCTCTGAAAGCCACACCTCCTAATAATGTCACTCCCTAGGGGGTAATTTTCTTTCAAACCACCACACCTTTCATATATGAACTAGCCCAGTCGTAGCCTACACCACACCTACCGCCTTTGTGAACTCCTGCAAGGTTCTGACACTCAGGACACTATTCCTCTGGCCCATGTACCACAGGTCTAGGTACTCACAATTACAGACGTCCTTCACCCCAGACCTTTTGAAATTATTCAAAGTCGTAAGTCTGCATTGGCCTCACATGTATGAGCAGGGTTGTGCAGAACCCTGACACTCAGGAGGTGGTGCATACCCAGGCTGGCTCATTCCTGTCTGTTATTCCATAGCTCATCTGCCATCTAGATGCATGGCCTCTGGGTTAAGTGATGGTTTCTTTGGGGTGGGGGGTCAGGAGAATGAGAACAGAGGGAAAGAAGCTGGATTGATGGTGGACAAGGAGGTGTAGGGGGTGATTAGTTCTCCCCTGTGTGACAAGAAATGAGGGGCCCTGAGCAGAAAGGCAACTAGCTTGTGAAATATGAAGACGTCTACACAGTCTTCATCTTCCTTTTCTTGACGCTTAAATGGGGTTGCAATCAGGAGCCTATTTTTCCTCTTTCCAGAGAGAAAACCTTTGTGAATCTTAAAAATTATACTTGAAAAATCTGAAAACCGGGCCCTTGGTTGCCCTTCCTGTAACCCGGCACTTGGGAATTAGAAGCCGAAGAACCAGACATGCAGGTCAACCTTGGCTCCATAGTGAAATCAAGGCCAGACAGGGATACATGAGACCCTGACCCTGTCACAAAAGTGAAATAAGAAAATACAGTCTGACTGATCACGGGTCTTTCAGTATCTGCTGAGCTGCTGTTCACTGAGAGCCCGTTGTGTACCAGGCCGTTTCCTATGCTGTGAGCTTAGGAAACAGGTCCATAGATGTGACTGATCCCCATTAGGTTCTGAGCAGATGTGCACAGGGCCCATCTCACCTGGCCAGAGGAAACACTAGCTGCCCATTGTCTCCAGTAGAATTATGTATATCTAGGAAGCAAACCTGTTTGGAAGAGGCCTCTGCCATGTGCTTTTTAAAAATATTCTCAGAACTGAGTTTCAACCCAGGATTTGGGACCCTCCCAATGGTACCCACCTTTATCGGATGGAGGAAAAGAAGGAAGGTAGGACACCTAAGTCACTTCCTGTAGAACTGTCCATACTGCCGCGTAGGAAGCCGATTCTGTTCGCTCGCTCACCTTTGGTGGGATGGGCAGATGGCACCAAGTTGATGTTGTCCCCCAACGGGCGCAGCTGTTGTAGATCACTTGGCAATGTTTAAGCAGAGCAGAGTTTTGGCCCCAAGAGGAGGCCATGTGTTCTCCTCCTCCCTTTAGGCTGTTGTTTTCAGATGGAGGGATAAAAATACCCATTGAGGAATACCACGAGAGCTGCCGGAGCGGCTGCTGTACTGTTCTCTGAGAAGTCTGTTTCAAAATGTTTCGTGTTTTCTAACTGAGAAGTATTTGGGCGTCCGTGCTACCAGTAACTAATACCCTCTTCAGTATTTCTACAAAACAGATGTCAAGTTCAGTTCCTGATGGGCACAAGAGGACTTCTGCAGGCCTGGAAGATTTAAACAAGCCCTCAAAAGACAAATTGTAAATGTAAAGCTCTCTGTATAGTTAGGAATCTCAGGCACAGAAGGCGGATGCTCCATCCCCATAATGGTTCCTTTGAGGGGGGGCATAGTTCAGTCATTTAAATTCGTTTGATGGCTGAACTATATTTTCTAAGCCAGATTTCAAGTAATTTAAAGTGCAAATAGAGAGAACAATTAAGCTAAGAAAATACAGTAGAAAAGGGTTTGCAATGTCACATAGAAAATACTGTGCCTTTGGATTCCAGTGCCTGAATGAGGATGAGAGAGAGAGAGAGAGAGAGAGAGAGAGAGAGAGAGAGAGAGAGAGAGAGAGAGAGAGAGAGAGAGAGAAGCCAGTTAGGGAGAGCATGGGTGGCTAACCAGGTTGGAAAAAAAAAGAGCTAAGAAGAGTGTGCTGGAAACAATGAAAGAATCTGCCCAGACAATCAAATTTAAAACATCTTTGTGATGATATTACACACAGCTTTAAAATAGTAGCATCCTAATAAGTTTTTGATGAAAAATAGCAGCCCCTTGTTCCTTTCCTAAATAAACCCACTTAGAATAACCAATTTCTGTTTCTTGTGTTTGTATGTTTGAATCATGCATATACATTTCTAAAAATTACTTGAAATATCAATTTTGAAGTCTGATTTTGTATATTACAGTATATAAGAATTTGACCATTTCCAACGCCCATAGATCTCCTCTTGCTTTCCTTCTAGTGTTTGCATTAATATGATGGAGATGGTTTCTACTGAGTCGTGTAGTATTTTAAGATGAAATTTCCTTCTTATATAAATTTTCCTCCTCCTGGGATTAGTAATTGCCTTATTTTTCTTTCTTTGTCTTTCAAAACCCTTTTATGAAGTGGTTTATTTCCTTGATAATTTCATATATGTATGAATGCATGGGGATCATAGTCATGCCTATGACCATCTTATTCTCCTCACATTCCCCTTGACCCTCTTCTTCCCATCAAGTCCCTTTTCTACTTTGATAGCATTTTTTTTTGTTTTGCTTTTGGTAACATACTGAGTTTCACTAGGACTTCCAGCATCAGCTTTGATGGGGGTTATTTGCTGAAATATGTGTGACTTAATAGTGACTGAAGAATATATATCATGGAATAATATACATTCTCCTCCTCTAGAAACCTTTAGCTTTCTACAGCCTCCAGAAAGAAGCCGGGCCCCATGAGCCCCAACCCCATCCATGACAGCATGTTGATTGGTTTCATTTTTTTTTTTTTTTTTTTTTTTGGTTTTTCAAGACAGGGTTTCTCTGTGGTTTTGGAGCCTGTCCTGGAATTAGCTCTGTAGACCAGGCTGGTCTCGAACTCACAGAGATCTGCCTGCCTCTGCCTCCCAAGTGCTTTGATTAAAGGCGTGCGCCACCATCGCCCGGCGATTGTGATTCATCTTATACAGGTCTTGTGCAGGCAATCACAGCTGCTGTGAGTTCACACTTGTCACGGCCATGCTGTGTCCCTAGGACAGTTTGTCACAGCGCTACTCCCCATCCTCTAGCTTTTATGTTCTTTCTGACCTTCTCCTGCAATGTTCCTTGAGGCTTGGGGAGTGATACAGATGTTCCCACTTAGAGTCCACAGCAATCAAATAGTCTCTGGGCTTTGACCAGTTTTGAATCGCTATAGTGACTGCTGCCCACTGGAAAATAAGACTTCTTTCACCAAGCCTGAGAGCAGCTCTTATACATATAGAAAT